CCAGCCCCGCCCACCCCAGCAGAACCTTGCTGGAGGAGCTGGCCACGGTCCGCAGCCAGCCGGACTGTCTGTCCTTCTCAGACGACGTGGGGTGCTGGGAGGGAGCATCATCTGTTTTTCTTATGGAGACTGGGGGCTCGGAGGAGACCTGTGAGTGACACAAAAGTTCTCACTGGTACCCCGGTGGCACCCACGCCTGGGCAGGGTGCCCTGGCCAGCAAACTCAACAGGGAACGGTGAGTGTCCAGTGACGTGTAGGCCTTGACCTGTGTGTGGGGCTGGTACCACGACCTCACCCCACAATTGCAGAGGTCTTGGGAGGGAGCCAAGGACCGAGGTGAGTTCTCAGCGGGGATTGGATCGGACCGGCCCTCACCACAGGCCTGTGCGTGCGTTGGCACCTTGGTGCCCAAAGAGCCCGCAGGAGCCGGGAGCCGGAAGCCTTTCGAAGTTGGTTCAGAACAGCCCCCTGCCTCCCTCTGCCCTGGCGGCCGGTTCGGACAGGCTCGCTGGCCCAGGGTGGGACCTTCTGTCGGACAGCCAAAGCTTTCCAGCGCTGTCACACAGCATCCCCAGAGTTCTGGATTTCACTAAGGAGAACTAATTTGGAAAACTGCTTCTGGGCCTGAGGCAGCTGCACTGTGGGGGGACCCACTGTGGCGACCCCCCCGCAGGAAACATTCCCCAAATGAAAGGCCCCCTTTACAGCGGGTGAGCTGAGCTTATGAGCAAAGCCATTCACATTTCCTCAGATCTCACGGGAACGCCGGCGTCGGGAGAACAAACTCTCCCGACCTGACTCACGCACGGGACTCAGGACGGTCTTCGGAAGGTGGACGGTGCCACCCGCAGCCTGGGACTGAGCAGAAACCACGAGGGACCCAGTGGTGTCCAAGACGACCCGGGGACACCCAGAGCAGCTGTGCCAGGATCCATACCACAGGCCAGTGCATAATCAGGCACTGGGGGGAGGGGCACTCTTCAGGCCTGACCTCGGGCAGCGAGCGAGAACGTGGGAGCCAGCCCACCTCCAGGAACAGCTGGAGAAAATACTGCATCGCACAACTCGCCCTGGGGAGGGGGGGCACGGCACAGCCTTCTTGGGGAGGGGACAGTGAGGGCAGGGCAGGGAGGCCAGAGGTCAAAGTGCCCACTCGCCAGGCTGGACCCTGGGCAGGGCACCCATGGACCGAAGGCTCCAGGGGAACATCTTATCAGGCCCGCAGAGGGAGTGAGCCAGCACGTGTGCATGTGAGTATCCACAGGGCCCACACCCCACTCGGCACAGCCCTGAGTCCTCGGCCCCTCTCAAGGGACAACCACGCGAAAGTGGGGGGCTGGGAAGCTTCACTCCAGAACTGCAGGAAGTTTGCTGCCCTCACGTCCCAGGGAAGACAATAACCCTCGACCAATGGGACCAGGAGGCTAGTCCAGGGCCACAGCGGCCTTTGTCCTCACACAGAAGCAGCTGCCCTGATGGCCTGCAGCTGAGTCAGGGCCATGACCAGCTCCTTGGGGATATTTCAAGGACGAACCCACAGACGGCTGTGAAGACAAGCATTCGGGAAAGACCCTGCTTTTTCGAGGTGAGTGACGGTGCCGTCTGGACGCCTCCTGCCTGCCTGAGCGCTGCCTGAGCAGAGGGCGGGGGTCGGCTCCAGGCGAGGGTGGGGCTTCCTGTCTGAGCAGATAGGACGCTGGGAGGAAGCAGCTGGGTTCTCGCCAGAGAAAAGCCGCAGGCCCGGCGCTAGCTGCTGCTGGTTCTGAGAAACCTCGGGGAGACTTCTGGGGTGTCAGACGACTCAGGCTGTGGGCGGGCCACCCCCACCCACGTGGTGCCTGGCATCGTCAGTCCAGTCCGAGCCCCATGCACGCTGCAGGGGGCTGGGGGACACAGCTCCAGGGCGGGCAACTTCCTGTCCAGGGCCGTCAAGAGCATTCAGACCCGGCCGCTGGCTCCGCAGAAAGGACCAGAGGCCCCGCCACCAGCAGACGCAGACATGTGCTGCCCTGAGCGCTGCCCAGCAGGGCTGATGCAGCCGTCACCCGGGACCCCTCTGGCCTGCCCACACCGGCGCTGTGGCTGGGGGTCCAGGTGCTGGCCTAGGAGCAGGCGCGAGCAGAAGCCCAGTGTCCTCGTCCTAGCCACTGCTGCACGAGTGTCCATGTGCCCAAAGTGCCAGGTGTCCATGCAGGAAATGACACTTGGGCCCCCAAACTCCCTAAGGGCCAGGCCCCAGCGTTCAGGGCAAGGTTGGAGCACAGGGGTTCTGTCACCTTGGGACCAGGAGGGGCTCGGCAGAAGAAAATGCCTCACCCAGCGGCACGTGACCCGGGGGAGGGTCAGACACAGACCCTGAGGGCCTGATGGCTAGTGGGGGGGAGGGGAACAGGAGCCACTCTCGGTGAGAAATCATGGAGATGTGACACATGCTGTCCAGCTGACAAACCCTGGTGTGAGACCGTGGACGGACATGAGGACAGGAGAGCGGGCCAGGTCGCGGAAGCAGCTGGGCCACAGCGCTCGTTCCCATGCTGGCCGGAGGGCAGGAGATCAGAGGCAGCTGGGCGGCCCCAGAGTGGGCGCATGCATGGGAGACCACCAGGAAGACCCTCTAAAGGCTCTGCCAGCCCAGCGTGAAGACAGTGTGAGCCCAACTCTGGCCAGTTCCTCAGGGATCAGGAAAGGGCGTTTCGAAGTCACAGGCAGGATGAAGAGCAGGATCCCCACTCCTCTGAGACCCCAGCTCACTGTGGGCCAGATGCCGAGGGGTCCGAACGGGACAAAAAGCCAGTGCCCCAGCCCCAGCAGAGGCTCCCAGCGCCCAGGAGCATGCCGACCCCTTTGGTGGCAGTGGAGAACTTGCCAAAACCCAAGGCCACACTGACAGTGACATGTGGCTCCAGGGAGTGGAGTGCGGCTGGCTCCAGGGCCACCTGAGTGATCCCATGGCAAGCTGACCCTGCGGCCCGGCGGCTCCAACACTTGGGACACAGGGCCTTCGGCGGCCAGCCAGGCCGGGCGAGGCCCGGGGACCCCGCTTCGTCACAGGCCAGTTCAGAGATGCCAGCAGAAGAGCACGGCGGGCGGAGCCCGGGGCAGTCCCCCGCAGGGGCAGCCCCTCTCCTGGTTCTCTGGGTATCTGGAGTATCTGATTAATGACCGATTACTGATTAACAGCCAAACCAGAAACTTTTCCCCTCCCACCAGCAATTTGGTGCCAGCGGTCCCTGCCTCGTACCTTCCAGACACAAGGGTTCGAGTCAACCTTTGCAGAGGCGCCACATACCCTAATCAGAACAAAACACTGCCAGACACAGCTCGCACACGTGCCCGTGTCCACAAGAAGGTCAAAGGGTCCGTGTCCTGCAGTGCCCAGCAAGGGCAGCTCCGAGTGAGCGGGGACACCTACCCAAGCCAGCTTTACCAACACCAGTGACGTCTGACTGGCCCCCAGGGGAGTTCCTGGGATGCACGCGGCTGAGGCCCTGCAGCTCTGTGGGTGGCCTTCACTCTCGTCTGATGACGCGCAGTTCCTGCCAGCTCTGGGGCTGCCACTTCCTCTTAACCAAGAGACCGGCTGATGGGCCGCAGACACAGAAGGTGTCAGTGCTTGAGGACGGCAGGCCAGGGCCCCCTCGTCTGCCGCCCCACGGAGAGCTGGGCCCCCACAGTCCTGGGGGGCCATGGTCATGTCCCAGTGGTGTTTTGGTGAGGGGCCGCTTGGGCCCCAGAGCAGCAGCGCTGGCACCTGGGGAGCTGGACCGTGGAGGCGGAGCACCCACGGGGAGCGAGGCCAGGTTAACATCCAAGCGAGACCTAGACACGCGCACCGTCATGGAGGCCCGGGTGCCGGGGGCAGGGCTCAGCAAGGACGCGGCACAGAGGTCCGGAACAAGGCCGGACGCTGAGGAGGCCGCAGCTGGGCGATGGGGAAGGTGGCCTGGGGGCCTTGGCGCGCACCCAGCGCCACGTGGAGTGACCACTTCTTGGTTTTTGTTCATCAGCGCCCAGTGGGTGGCCAGAGTCTCAGAAACCCCTTTCCAAAGGTCGGCAGCGCGCCCGAGACCCCGCGGCCTGGCCCTCAAACCTGTCTCTTCACCCTCGCTAAAGAGTCGGACAGCCAGAGGTCAAAGGACAGACCCAGCATCTGGCAGAGGCCGCCAGACTGACAGCCGTCCCACCTCAGGCACGTCTCCGCCCGGCGTGGGGCTGACGCCTGCTGCGGGAGGCCCTCGGAGAAGGGCCGTAGTGACGTCACCACACTTCCTCCGCCAAAGCCACTGGGCAAGCGGGAGCAAAGCACCTTCCTGCCGAGTTACAGTCGTCAACTTGAGGGTGGCGGCAACCTCGGGGTCAACTCTCCCGGCAGCAGGGGGTCCGGCTGCCCCTCGGGAAAGCCGTGTGAGGCTGGGACGATCGTCGGCAGCTTTATTTGGGACAAATGATCACCACGCAGCAGACACAAGCTCCATGACATCCACCCGAGGGACCGTGTCCCAACTTCACAGGCGCGAGCATGCACCTTCTCGGATGAGAAGGGACCCCCCACACCCGTGCTGCGCTGTGTGGCACGCCCGCCCTGCACCCCCTCCCACTAGGCCTCAGCCAAGGAGGGGTGCGCGCAGTGGGCAGCAGCCAGTCCCGGATCTGCTCTGGAGAGGCTGTGCGCTGCGTCTGTGAGCAAAGTCAAACGGTGGGGACAGACTCCCCTTCAAGGACACAGGCAGGCTGTGCTAGGAGCTGGGGCGAGCGTGCCAAGCGATCTGATTTCAGTGGAAGGGTTTCCGGAAGTGCCGACATGGGGAGCCTGTACCCATGGGCTCTGCACAGGGAGTGGAGGCCTGGGTAAGATCCCACCAACCTCCTCCGGGAGGAGGCGACATCAGCCCCCCAGGACACGACCCTGGAGGCCAGCGTGGCAGAAGCAGCAGAACCACCCCCACCCCCAAGTCCTTCACACAGAAGGAGCTCCTGCCCCGCAGGCCCTGCCTCCGCTGACATCCCTGGGGTGCCAGTCACGGGCGAACGTGGCCACGCGTGGCATGAGCGTCTGCTTCTGGTCCCGCTGTGGAAGGTCCTTTACTGACAGCATGGCCGCCATCACCGCCTTATCTTCTGGGTGGCGGCGAAGTGGTTCCTTAAGA